GTTTTTACCTGGTGATCTGGCCAGCAACACCCCTCCTGTATTAGTGAGACAGCACTCTGGAAGAATGAGCACAGGAGGTACAGCAGACAGCAGCACTGTGACGATAAATGTATTAACAGATGCTAATATACTAACAAATTGAAGTCAAACTCCAACTCATACTTTATAATCAGTTACAGCAAACATTTTATTTTTTGCTTTTGGAATAAAGATTTTACATGAATAAATAAAAGCTGATCATTTAACCATCCCTGCCAGTGTTGATTTGTCTGATGTATGTACATTCTGATGGACAGTTTGAGCTTTTGAAAAACAACAAACTTGCAAGCTGGATCACCAGATGAAAATAGAAGAAAGAAAGCCTAAAAATTAAAATGTAGTCATCACATCTAAGGATTGGTAAACTACCATATAATAAATGTTTACTTTTGGGATTAATACTGCTTTAACTGAGCCTTCAAAAATAATTTGTTCTCTACTATATTTCTGGTGATCATCACATACAAAGCTCAGTGGGGATGATTTACTAAAACTGGAGCATGCAAGATCTGTTGCAGTTGTGAATGGTAGCCAATCAGCTTCTAACTTCAGCTTGTTCAATTAAGCTTTGACAAAAAATACTGGAAGCTGATTGGTTTCTATGCAGAGCTGCACCAGATTTTGCACTCTCCAGTTTTAGTAAATGAACCCCGTATCACCAAATAGTAATGTGCAATCTGGGGTTGATTTATTAAAACTGAAGAGTGCAAAAGCTGGTGCAGCTCTGCATAGAAACCAATCAGCTTCCAGATTTTTTTTGTCAAAACTTAATTGAACAAGCTGAAGTTAGAAGCTGATTGGATACCATGCACAGCTGCATCAGATTTTGCATGCTCCAGTTTTAGTAAATGAACCCCGTATCACCAAATAGTAATGTGCAATCTGGGGTTGGTTTACTAAAACTGAAGAGTGCAAAAGCTGGTGCAGCTGTGCATTGAAACCAATCAGCTTCCAGTTTTGTTTTTTTTTTTGTTAAAACTTAATTGAACAAGTTGAAGTTAGAAGCTGATTGGATACCATGCACAGCTGCATGAAATTTTGCACTCTCCAGTTTTAGTAAATGAACCCCGTATCACCAAATAGCAATGTGCAATCTGGGGTTGATCTATTAAAACTAAAGAGCGCAAAAGCCGGTGCAGCTCTGCATAGAAACCAATCAGCTTCCAGTTTTTTTGTTAAAACGTAATTTAACATGCTGAAGTTAGAAGCTGATTGGATACCATGCACAGCTGCACCAGATTTTGTACTCTCTGGTTTTAGTAAATTAACCCGTATCACCAAATAGTAATGTGCAATCTGGGGTTGATTTATTAAAACTTAAGAGTACAAAAGCTGGTGCAGCTCTGCATAGAAACCAATCAGCTTCCAGATTTTTTTTGTCAAAACTTAATTGAACAAGCTGAAGTTAGAAGCTGATTGGACACCATGCACAGCTGCATCAAATTTTGCACTCTCCAATTTTAGTAAATGAACCCCGTATCACCAAATAGCAATGTGCAATCTGGGGTTGATTTATTAAAACTAAAGAGCGCAAAAGCCGGTGCAGCTCTGCATAGAAACCAATCAGCTTCCAATTTTTTTTTTGTTAAAACGTAATTTAACATGCTGAAGTTAGAAGCTGATTGGATACCATGCATAGCTGCACCAGATTTTGTACTCTCTGGTTTTAGTAAATGAACCCCTGTATCACCAAATAGTAATGTGCAATCTGGGGTTGATTTACTAAAACTGAAGAGTGCAAAAGCTGGTGCAGCTGTGCATTGATTTGAAACCAATCAGCTTCCAGTTTTTTTTTTTTGTCAAAACTTAATTGAACAAGCTGAGGTTAGAAGTTGATTGGCTACCATGCACAGCTGCACCAGATTTTGTACTCTCCAGTTTTACTAAATAACCCCTATGTGTAGCACATCCTGAATATGCCTTGAACTGAAGGTAGACTACCAAGACTGCTTGAGACTACCAAAAGGGGAGCTCTCCTCCCAGGAATTCCAACTCACCTGTATACTACACATGTAGGTCTAGCTATCACTCTACTACACCTTCACTCCATATCTTCAACAACCTGACAAACCACATAGCCTAATATACTATAAATTATAATATCCCATGATGATATTAAAATAGGCACATTCTCAAAAACAGAACATAATAGCACATAAAGTAATATCAATCTACATTAATAAAAAAAAAAGATTCCATTCTAATCAGTAGCTGTAATAATAATAATAATAACCCATGAGATTTTTTTTTAGTCTACTACATCATTTACAATGCAGTAAAAATCACTTTAAAGTAAATGTTGTTTCTGTATAATTTAATTTTTATAGTGTGTATAATAATATAATGAGCCATTATTTGTTTTTTGTTTTTTTGTTCTGTGTCTTCCACACTTAGCAGTGTGTGTTCCCATGTAATATGTGTGTGCTTGTCTATAAATAGGGAGGCACAAATATTTAGATATAATCCTTTCCATCTATATGCCTTGCTTTGTGTACATGCGCCAGGATTGTACAAACTAAAGCCAGAGCTTCATTCTGTCTCAGAATACTCTTGTTTTCCTAAGGCCCAATTTATTGACCATCCCTGAGACGATCTGCTAAATCTGCGATGATCAAACACGTTAAATAAACTTTACTTTGTTTAATATCTCAAACAGCAAACGTGTCCCCTAGAATAAATATATGTTGCAGCAGAGTAGACAGTGTAGAGGACTAAAAGCAGCAGATGAAGCAGAGCCCCAAACTCAGCCCAAATGTCACTTCTTACATTTTATTTTCTACACACATGGATTGCCAGCCTTTCTGCCAGCTCCATCATTGCCCCGTATTGATGATTGTGTCCATCAAAGACAGCGGGATCGGCCGCAATTAGATGGGAATTTACTAGGCGACCTTCTACCAGGTAGATCGGGACAAGAATGGGACTGTGTAAGTCTTGGATTTGGTATTTCGGCCTTTTATCATAGCGATAATTATAATTCAGGTTTTTTTTTTACTGGGTATTAAACAGAAATAACTATGATGATGACCTAAACTATATATGTGTGTTATACATGATACATCTGAATCGTATTATCTAAGGATATATGTAAGATAATATTGCGAAAGTGTGGTATATTAATATTCGCCCGTCTGACTTCTACATATATGTATGTTGTGTGTTATGTATCTCAATTTGAAAGTTTTACACTACATTATTTCACATTACATTATAAACGTTTTTAAAAAAAATTTTTATTAAATTATATATATATATAACTATATATATATATATATATATATATATATATATATATATATATATGTGCAAAACATTATGATAATGTGTCTGTATAGGTTAGTCCTTTTAACTAGAAGCATATCGCAAAAATATTATATTTTATTATACTGTATTTAAATAATATATTTTTGTTTAATATTACACTGGGACCCACACAGCTATTTGACATTTTAATTTGCTTTAATTGTTTCATTGTGATAGATAGATAGAGAGATAGATAGATAGATAGATAGATAGATAGATAGATAGATAGATAGATAGATAGATAGATAGATTTCTGAACGTATACACACACACATATATATGTATATATATTTTATTTTTTTATTTAAATATGTATATATTTACTTTTAATATATATATATATATATATATATATATATATATATATAAACTGTTTGGGGGGGTATGCATTCTTGATATATAAAGCACAATTAAAAGAAATATATAAAAATGTAAATATTGTTCCAAACGTGTACACACACACAAAATTTTATATATATATATATATATATATATATATATTAGTATTTGTATATTATGAAAATAATTATTTTATTGTTTTATATATATATATATATATGTGTGTGTGTGTGTGTGTGTGTGTGTGTGTATGGTGCATGTGTATATATGTGTGCGTTAGCTACAAAAATATTTATATATATTGTTATTTGGAATATGATGATGATAATTATTATATTGTTTTAATATATATAGTATATAATTAATATTAATATTATTATAATCAATTATCTATAATTGTATAATAATTGTATAACTACATACATTTCTTGTTTTGAAGCCATAATAAAATATTTTTTCCCTATAGCGAGGGAAAAGACACTTAAAAAAAAGTACACTGCGCACTATCCGATTCATAACTGGAATAATAAATGATACATTGTCAACAAAGCAACAATAACCATCTAAAAATAAAAAAAAGTCAATGAATCTATGCAGCAGGCACATTAGATCTATGCCTCTCTGTAGGATTGTCACATTTATCCTATAAGTACACAGCAGTGGAAAGTCCAGGATTTCAATGGCTAAAAAAGCAACTTTTCTTATCGCCCGGACAGAAAAGGAGAAGACGCTGTGGCCACGGTATAGGGTGCCGCATTCTGCTCTCCCTCCTCTGTGGACTGAACAATCAGATTATAGTTTAATGAATCTATTCAAATGGCTCTTTTCGGGAGCCCAGGGCAGGTGTACAATGGGGGGCCAAGGAAGACTCTCACGCCTAGGTGTGAGCTGATTATTCAAATGGGCTGGCGAGGACTTGGGGATTGGAGGCTCGTCTCAAGCTGGATGCTATATCACCCAGCAAGCTGCTACAACGTCACCACAACAACTGTTATCATCATCATCATCAGTGTGACTGTTAGAAGCCATTGTCAGTAGCAGGCGAGCCTGCACTGTCCTCCTCCTGCCCATTCACCCAGGAGCTCCATTGCTGATCAGAGGAAGAAGGAGAAGCCAGTGAGATCCCTACTTCCCCCTCCTAGTGCAGAGAGGGAGTGCTGGGGGAGGAGGGCTCCTCTCTCTCTCTCCCTCTCTCTCTCTGCCCTCTCTCTCTCTCTCTCGCTCTGTCTCTCTCTCTCTCTCTCTTTTTGTTGCTATCACTGGCGTAGTTGTTGCTTGTGGCTGTTAAATTTTAAACTGCCATGCACTCTGCTTCCAGTATGCTAGGAGCTGTGAAAATGGAAGGACACGAACATTCAGATTGGAGCAGCTACTACACCGAGCCAGAGGTAAGAAAAGTCTCTTTCTGCTTGATGTCATCTTTGCCTCATTCTGCCTCTTTATAGCACACTGTTAGCCTTGGGATAATATTAACTTTGTGATCAAATATTGACTTGTGGCGCCTCCAAATCCTCTTCGATGACTGAGCCACACACTATCCCAACAAGCTTGTGTTTGGCATGGGGTGGGGGGAAGAGACAAGGAAAAAAAAAGTTTCTTCTTGTAAATGTAACAGCTAATCAAACTTCCAGGACTGGAGAATCAGCGACATTTTCATCTGATTTCACCAACTGTCATTTATACTCACTGACCAGTTTGGTTGACTTCTTTCACTGGTTGCCTGCTTGGGATCTGGCAAGTGAAAGGTGTCTCAGTCCTCTGCTGGTTTATGGCTGTGATATCAACACAAGGTGTAGTAGTGGGTCACAAAACAGTGACGCCTAAGAAACAAAGAAGTATGTCAATATTTATACCAATCTATTTCCCAGGGCTTATAAATTGACAATTGTTTGCCAGTTAGATATTAGGTAGGAGGGGTTGGACTCTAAATAGCTAATGTTAAACTTTAGTCTTGGTACTATGGGGCAATCTGAATTACAGAGAGGGGAGAACAGTGCAAAGACAGCTGTTTACATATATAATATTAACTATAAACAGTATATATATATACACACAGTGTATATATATATTCCACATTTTAAATATGTATCATAGGCTCACTTTCAGTGTCACAGCTTTGATGTTATTTATATATATATATATATATATATATATAAAAAGAAATACAGAATGATGACAACACGACACACACAATAGATAGATAGATAGATAGATAGATAGATAGATAGATAGATAGATATGCTCACTTGCGTCTTTGTATAGCTATTGAATTTTTGTACAAATAATAAATCTTTTGTAATCGCTGTATTGGATGCATGTGATATATGTATATGGACTTGCATCCTTGATTTTCAGTATAAATGTTATATATTAAAATAAATAATACACCTTTTCTATTTGCCTTACTGGATTCATATTATTTTCTATATATATATATATATATATATATATATATGGACTTACATCTGTGATTTCCAGTATATATGTTGTATATAAATAGTAAATCTTTTCTATCTGCTGTGCTGGATTCATGATTCATGTGATTTCCTAATATATATATATATATATATATATATATATATATATATATATAGGAAATATTTAACATATATTCATATATATTGGAAATATATATGTTAGATATAAATAATAATATAGTTTTATAATTATATGCTGTATATATGGACTTACATCTTTGATTTCCAATATATATGTTATATATAATAAATCTTTTGTAATGTATGTAATTCCCTATAGTAACTCTACACCTTCCATTTCCCAGGCTTACTCGTCAGTAGGCAACATGAACGCTGGGCTAAGTATGAACACCATGAACACTTACATGAGCATGTCCGCTATGAGCACCACTTCTAACATGACAGCAAGCTCCATGAACATGTCCTATGTCAACACTGGAATGAGCCCGTCTTTGACTGGTATGTCTCCAGGCACCGGTGCCATGGCCGGTATGGGGTCAGGTGTAGCCAGCATGGCCACCCACCTGAGTCCCAGTATGAGCCCCATGAGCGCCCAGGCTACATCCATGAACGCCTTGGCACCTTACACCAACATCAATTCTATGAGCCCTATCTATGGACAGTCCAACATCAACCGTTCCAGGGATCCTAAGACCTACAGGAGGAGTTACACCCATGCCAAGCCACCATACTCCTACATCTCTCTGATCACCATGGCTATTCAGCAGTCACCTAACAAGATGCTGACCTTGAGTGAGATCTATCAGTGGATCATGGACCTCTTCCCTTTCTACAGGCAGAACCAGCAGCGCTGGCAAAACTCCATCCGCCATTCCCTGTCCTTTAACGACTGTTTCCTCAAAGTGCCGAGGTCTCCAGACAAGCCGGGCAAAGGCTCCTTTTGGACTCTCCATCCAGACTCTGGAAACATGTTTGAGAATGGATGCTACCTGAGGCGTCAGAAACGCTTCAAGTGCGAGAAGAAGCACAACCCCAGAGATGGTGGTGGCAAGAAGCTTTCTGAAGGTGGCTCTAGTGTGGGTTCTGCCGCTACCAACAGTAGTTCGGAAAGTTCTGGGGGTAACGAGTCTCCCCATTCCAGCTCCTCGCCATGCCATGAGCAGAAGAGGGCTTTGGTGGACCTAAAATCCAACCAAGGCTTGAGCCCTGACCACAACCCTTCTCCGGTGTCCCAAGCCCAGCATATGCTGTCTCAACACCATTCAGTGTTGTCCCATGACGCCCAGTCCCACCTCAAACCAGAACACCATTATTCTTTCAACCACCCTTTCTCCATCAACAACCTCATGTCCTCAGAGCAGCAAACACCACCATCACCACCATCATCACAGCCACCACCACCATAAAATGGACTTGAAAGCCTACGAACAGGTTATGCATTACTCTGGCTATGGCTCTCCCATGGCAGGTAGCCTAGCCATGAGTGCAGTAACGAACAAAGCTGCATTAGAGTCCTCACCTATTTCAAGTGACACTTCTTACTATCAAGGTGTGTATTCCAGACCAATAATGAACTCTTCCTAATTCTAGACAACCTAAAGGACTTTGATTGGCTGTATACATTTATGTAAAACCTTAGTCTGTGTTTTAATCCCCCCTCCCTAAACGTGAGGTGTATAGTTTTTTCTGCCCCCTTAGCTGTCAACTATTTTCCACTCTGTTTCAGTTTTTTGTTTTTGTTATGTTGCAGGGAATTTTTTTTGTGAATGTGTCGGATTCTTTTTAATTTTGCGTGAAACTTGTAGTTTCTACCGAGGACCAAAAGTATGTCATATACATGGTGTAAAAAAAAGATGCGAAAATATTGTAATTGACAAAAAAAGTTAATTTTTTTTAAGTAAAATGTTTGAAAAAAGGCTTAATTTATGGTTCTGTATACTTTATTTATGACTATGTATTCTGGCCTGTCCCAGCCGGAGTTTAACAATCTCTATTAAAATTGTATTGCCATTTACTTTTGGATCTGTTATGTTTTATTTCTGCCATGTGATATATGATACAATAATCAAACGAAATAATTACAAAATATATATTTAAAAAAAGGTTTAGGTTCAACATCTAAAAATATAGATTTAAAAGTTTTGGGTTCCTACAAAATGTATACCTAAAAAAGGTTTACATTGAAAATCTCAAATCAGATCTTGCAGAGATTAAAGGGCTGATTTATTGAAATGGGAAGGGATCGTTCACATAGCAAAGTGAATAATCATTGACCTTATAGTACATAAGGTGAATCTGAATTTTTGTTTGATATCCAATCATACGCAAGATAAATAAATATTTTTTTTTTTAATTAAATTACTGGAGTAACACAGTCTCGCATTCCTCGGTATGTTCTCTTTGGTCATCTACTTCTTTTGTAAATGGACTCTAGTGAGAACTTGCTCTCAGTTCAGGCATTCCTCCTCTACTTTTCACAGGTCTGTGATATTTTTGCTGCTCTGGATCGCAGACCGAATCCTGACTTTTGCTGTATGGGATTGAAGAAAACTAATCTGACCAGTGCAATAAGGTGATAAAGGGTCCAGCACCTGCACGGTCACCTGACCGGTGGAGGTCACAATCCAGGCAGCTGTGGAGTCAGCAGTCTTGTAGGCGCCAGGTTAAAAAAGGGGCACTTTGTGGTGTAAGAGGACTCATTTCCAGAAATGACATGCAAAAAGTATTTGACTGCAATTGAGGCAAACAATATCGGAACAGCTACCGAGCAGCAGAAAAAAGGGATGGTGCAGCACTGGTCTTCTGTTAGCAAAGGGGACGTATTATAGAACTGATTTTCCTTAGAGCACTTTGTGACAGTTATTGTGCACCTCCTACAAAACATCAATTTTTTATGTGTTGAGATTGCTCTGTAGTCAGTTTTACAGACCATATATTTGCCATAATTTCCCGAATTTTATTAAAGGTTTTCATATAAAATGTCATCTAAATATCTAAATATTTAGCACACTTATTAAACGCTTTTCATTAAAATTTGCAATTCATATATATATATATATATATATATATATATATATAGTACATCCTGTTAGTGCCCTATTTTAGGCTAATTGTAAGATAAATTAGTAAATTATAGCATTATAATAATATAACATTAGTATATTCGATAGAATAGGTTATTGTAAAATTAGTGTAAATATGTAACTATGTGTATCTAGTGTAATTATGTTACCTCTCTGTTGTAGATGTAACAATTCTTCCTTCTTTCTCCCTAAAAGAAAGGATATACTTTTTGGAAAAAAATATTTTTAAAATGTTTTACACAGGGAGTCTCTCATTTTTTTCCCTTTCTTCCCTTTCTTTCTTTCTTTCTTTCTTTCTTTCTTTCTTTTTCTTTCTTTCTTTCTTTCTTTCTTTCTCTTTTTTTCCATTTTTTTATATTAATTTATATCAGTTAGGTTAGAGGGTGCTGAATTGCCAGTGCTGCAAACACATGATTTGCACTATACTGAGCCAAAATTTGCAACCTGCCAACTCACCACTATTATTCAAAATAGTATGTATATATAAATATATATATATAAAATTTATTTTTTTTTTTTTAAATATTGTTTTATTGTGCAAGGAGGGTATATTTTATAATGGTTCTATTTAATAGTCTCTCTCTCTCTCTCCAAATATGAATTTGAAAATTCACCCTTATTGAACCATAAAACTATAAAACAAGTCATATATATATATATATATATATATATATATATATATATATATATGTGTGTGTGTGTGTGTGTATATATATGCTTTTGGATGTTTTAATAATTCCTAAAATGTGTTCACAGAGAGTCTCTCTCTCTCTCTCTCATTAATTTGAAATGTCACCCCTATTGAACCATAAAACAGTATTATATAAAACGAGTCATACATACATACATATCACAGGGATATATGCTTTTGGATGTATTTTTAAAATGTGTTTCACAGGGATCTTAAAATGTGTGTCTCTCTCCTTCTTTCTTTCTTTCTTTCTTTTTCTTTCTTTCTTTCTTTCTTTCTTTCTTTCTTTCTATTGAGCCCCTATTGAGCCATAAAACAGTATTATATAAAACGAGTCATATACATACATATATATATGCTTTTGGATGTTTTACTAATTCCTTCTTTCTTAAAATGTGTTTCACAGGGAGTCTCTTTCTTTCTTTTTCTTTCTTTCTTTCTTTTTCTTTCTTTCTTTCTTTCTTTCTTTCTTTCTTTCTTTCTTTCTTTCTTTCTTTCTTTCTTTCTTTCTTTCTTTCTTTTTCTTTCTTTCTTTTCTTTTCTTTCTCTCTCTCTCTTTCTTCTTTCCCCATCTCTTTCTATATATATAACGCACCATCATTGCCCAATTAATTAAAACCAAATCTGTGTTATCCTAAAAAGTCCCCGGTAAGCCTTCCAGTAACCCGACCCTTCCGTTCTCTTCCAAGCCCTAACCCTCTGGTTTGGATACGCTTGTTCCAGTTTGCTCAGCCCGATAGACTGTGACTGCAAAGTAAAAACAATGCTAATTACAGGAGGAACACGTGGATGACAAGCAGTGTCAGCTCCCTTGCTCCTGCTGTCCCCCTCTAATAACAGAAATATGAATGACAGCCTGGGCTGTCGTTTTTCCCACGAGCTCCGGGCTGTGATAGATTGCAGGCAGAAAACAAGAACGTTTAAATCCTGCTTAGGAATCCACATTGTCTATGGGGGGACTGAGGCAGAGAGCAGTGGCCAGGCTGCAGGGACACACACGTTGAGAAGTCAGCATGAAATGTGTTTCATTAGCACATAAAAGCCTCCCGTGGAGAAGAAGAATAGGGCTTGGAATGGGCCTGATTTGTGAACAATGCTCTTTGAATGTGATGCTATAACCTGCTATGTTCCTATCACTCGGCCATTGTTTAACTGGTCGTTTTAAACTACTTAGTGTCTGGCACTCCACTGATCCTGGCAGATAACATGGAGTTGTGTTCCCCCCCAAGACACAGAAAAGCATGTCAGTGCCATGTCAGGCTTGTAACAGGCAGTCCTGTGCCTTTCTCCTTTGCTCCTCTACTGACTGCCACCCATAGCTCCTGGGTCTCTGTTTTGTACTGGGTGGTGGAGGGGGGCTCCTACAACTACTACATGTATTTTCCAAACGCTTGCTGGTTTAAGCATCCGTGATCTGTGAGTAAACAGTGACAGTAAACAAAAAATTCCAGATCCAAATTCCAGGAGGGTAAACTTTCAAGCAACACGTCACACTAGCAAATTTACACAGATATAGTTTTTTTTTCCTTTGCTGCAGTTTTTCTTGACTCATTAGGTTTAAGTGAGTTTTATAATGCTGATCAATATCTTGGTAAAATATTCATCTTTTTTTTCTGAAGTAGTAGGAATCTTTGCTTTGTGCTAAAGTCAACAGAGGCAGCCAGAGCTCAAATAAAGGCAGAGACAGCAGAGCTGCTGGCAGCTGAAGGTCTGTTCTTGTGGACTTGTCACCATCGACCAGACAGAGGCAGGTAGGGGGGATTTTCTTGCCATTCAAGACCCTATCTACTTGTGCTTTCCATCCTAGATCCAGACTATGCATAGGATAGGGTGATGCCCCTCTGGCCAGACAAGAGGCTTCTCCAGACAATTGTATCTAGTTGTCAACAGGTAAAGGGGCTCCATAGACAATGCAGCTGAAAGTTTTCATTTTCTTTGTCATAATGATTTGAGGATATTGTTGGAAGAGTGCTGCTGCTAGGAAAAAAAAAGTTGTCCGAGGTGCTAAAAGTTTGTATTATTATTATTATTATTATTTAATCAATATTTTTATCTTATACTTATTTTTTTTAATTGTTTTTGTTATTGTTACCCTTTAGGTTTGATTTAAAACATCCTTTGTACTGTGCTCACTTCAAATTCAAGGACATTCAAAAATAATTTTCCCATTAACTTGGTTGGGTTTTTGAAATACACAGAGGCTAGGGTAAAATTAACTAGTCTACTAATAAGTCCCTAAGGTTTGAAAATGTTCGTGGGTATAATTATATACATTTTGGGGAAAGCCTGAATTGGTCCCTAGCAAAGTATGGAAAATACCATCAACTATGTCCCCTAAAATATGAAAATGTATGTAGGGTGCAAGTAATTACATACACTTTGAGGAAAGACTGAATTGGTCCCTAGCTAAGTATGCAAAATACTGTCTACTCAGTTCCCTAAATTCTGAAAATGTATGCAGGGTGCAAGCAAATATATATATACTTTGAGGAAAGACTGCATTGATCCCTTGCGATGTATGTTAAATATTGTCTACTTAGTCCCCTAAAAAAAAATCAGTGGTCGCAAATATATAGCAGCAATGTATAACCAGAAATTCATTTTTAATTACTTGATTTGCTGTGTTTGTACTGCATTTAATTATTACTACCAGAATACACCCTTGCCTTGATATATTAATGTATATATATATATATATATATATATATATATATATATATATATATATTATGCAGTTAATTCAATGACTTATTAATTGCAATATCATTGATATCATTAATTGTGTTGTGGGGTGCTACTATTATATTATA